GTTTTACTCTGGCAACAGATTCACCAGCATGCTGGCAGATGGTCTGTGGTTGCCAGTGGTAACCACTCTCAGCGAGAAGCTACAGTTGCTCTTCTCTGCTCCCTTTGAGAGAATAGAAAGTCAAGAGGTATTGGCATGTCTCTGCCTTGTCACAAAATGGGCAAGCCTACAAGACAATTACAATTGACAACATGAAATATCTATCCTGGCATGATGGAAAAGGGGAGCACTGGGAAATACTTTGTTACATCAATCTCTACTTCTGTCGATAGTAATTTAGTAAAAACTACTTATGATCTGCTCATGCCCAACTGATGGTTAAGTTTAGGAGATTGAACTGTTGCATTTTATTACCTACCAAGTTTTTTTTTTTTTTTGGAAATGTGCTAATATGATATTCTTTGAAGTTCTATGTAAATACCATTGCAAATTAATATGGAAGTAATTGTATTGTATTGAGCTATACTATATTGAGTACTATGATGTGTCAAAGTTAATACCGTCACAACAGGATACTTTTTTTGAAAGGTAGAAGCTGCAAATGTAGTATGAACAAATTTTGTTTTTATTTCCTTCCAAGTTTTTTTTTTTTTTTTGGAAATGTGCTAATATGATATTCTTTGAAGTTCTATGTAAATACCATTGCAAATTAATATGGAAGTCATTGTATTGTATTGAGCTATACTATATTGAGTACTATGATGTGTCAAAGTTAATACCGTCACAACAGGATACTTTTTTTGAAAGGTAGAAGCTGCAAATGTAGTATGAACAAATAACTGCCATAAAGTTTGCCATTTAATTCTATTGAAAATGTTTTAGTTTTTTTGTTCGTTTGTTTTATAAACGCATTAGACTATTGAAATTACAGCTTAAATATTTTTATGAAAATAAAAATATTGCAAAGGTACACTATGTAACATTTGCCCCTCAAGAAACTGCATGCGTTTTGTGGAAGAACATTGGGTGCGTCCGAAATCGCGTACTGCTTAGTAGGTACTACATTTGAATTTGAACGTACTACTCGACCGTTAAAAAAGTACGTTCTATATAGTATGAATGCGAGT